TCAGACCCAAGGATTGTCTATGTATTCCGAAGTTCGGAAGTGCTTGAAAGTATGCAAAATAAAGGTTTCGTATACCCTTCTACTGTGTAGTCGTTATACCAAATCTTGAACAAGCGAGTAGCTCCCGTTCTTATTCAAGGCATTCCATGTTTCCAATGCAAATCAAGAGAGAAACAAGTCCTGACAATGTGAATGTACTTTTAATAGAATTATAATAATTTAAACCACCTACAGTATCAATAGATAATAGCTCAAAAGGTTCACTGGTGATATACTAAATTGACATACTTCACAATATTTACACTGATTTCTAATATCTTATACTATTTCTGCCCAGTAATACTGAGGTGACAATGAATTTTACATTGAGAAGACACCAATGAGTCTAAATTCAACATGAGCTTTTTTCAAGTAATTTGGCACGAAGGGATATTGGAATTACAATTTTGTATAGACCTTGCTTCCTTATAGTTAACATATCATTAAATTTTTTATTCTTTAGATTACAGATGTTATCTAAATTTTAATGATTTTTAATTTCTTCTAGCAATGGTAAATTAGTTTGTGCACATAAATTTTAGCAAATAGGATTTCTAATTAGCATATTATTAGAATCTTTTCTATGTTTTATATCGTAATTTCAATGACCATCCACATACTATGTTTTATATTTTTAAGCCTATATGATCGATCGACTGTACTATGTTTATATTTACTACTCTACTGTGTTTATGTTTACTGTTAATGACCATCCACATACTTATGTTTTATATTTTTAAGCCTATAAAATGTTTTATATTTTTAAGCCTATAAAATGTTTTATATTTTTAAGCCAAACTAGGGCATCAGTATATACAGTAAAATGGCTACCGTGTAAATTGTAACAAAATTTATCATGTGTAATAGCTAAACTCTCTAACTCAGTAATTACATAATTTCTTTCAAAAGATCGTAATTTTCGAGAATGTTAAGGTATAATATGTAAATTACCATTGGGATGTTCTTGTTTTAGAACTGCACCAACAGCTTCTTTACATGTGTCTACAAATACATAACAAGGATATTTTGGATTAAATAAGTTAAAATGGGTCTGGAAATTAAAGAATGTTTTAAATTTTGAAAGTCTGTTTGGCAATCAGGCGGCCATTTATATGGAGTATCTTTTTCGAGTAAATTTCTTAAAAGTGCTCCAATTCTTGCATAATATATAAAACACATTAATGTAAATTTGATAAATTAATGTGTATTATAAATTGATTAATCTTAATGTGTATTGAGTAATCGTAATGCATATTATAAATTGTGATAAATTTATAATACAGTACAAAGTCTTTAATCCGGACATCCATAATCCGGAATGATCTATAAGCTACAAACTTTCTGAGCATGCATAGCGTTACGATTGGCTAGTACATTTACGCGCGCGTTCCTATATGACGTATCAGCTACTAAATTATTATTCAGATCATGTTGCAGATGGTTGTTCCTTAATCTCACTTGGATCCGGCTTACTATTTTGCAGCTGTTAGCGCCATTTTATAAAAGTCCGCTGCCCCGTAGCTTAGTCACCCGAGTTTCCGCTTGGCGCCAAGATCTCCAAACGAAGGCGTGTTCGATGTCATCAAACCACCTTGACTTACAAAGTGGATGTCACAGGCCTCGGAGCCAGGTCCAGCGGTTGTCACACAACACTTCGCTCCCCCCTTAGTCGGTTTCGGTGCGCAATTACAGGCTTTGAACCCGAACTTTGTAACTGAACCAGCACTATGACTGTTTCTAGAGTTACGAAAGTCTTAGCCATATCCCCGACGCCCCTTCCCCAACTCCTTGCAAGAATGTGTAATACAGAAACACTTAAATATGAGCTTTTTTTGTCCTTGTCTCCCCTTTAGATCATAATTTCAAAAAATTTCATTTATTTTCATAAATTCAGTTCATCTTTTCAATGCTTAGCAATGCTTTTGCCTGCCTCTTACAGATTTAAATTGATGATCTATAATCCGGAAAACCCCCTAACCAGGAATCGCCAAATTCCCGTCAAGTTCGGATTAAAGACTTTGTACTATACACATTAATACTTCTAAGAATTCTTTGCAATTCTTTAACATTTTTTAGAACTGTAATTTTTTAATAGCTTCAATATTTGCATTACCTGGGTTGATATTTCCCTCCTTGAATTTCATACCCTAGAAAATTTATTTTTTCTTTGACTGTTTTGATTTTATATTTCCATTTTCACATAGCTCTAATATTTTAAGGTGCTCTAAAATGCTCTTCAGAATTTTGGGAAAATATTCTTATGTCATCAAAATTATTTAAGGCAAATTGAATTCTAAGAGCTCTTTGAAAAACAATTGGGGGATTTCCAACCAAAAAGTAATTTATTAAATTCATAAAAATTGAAACTGGTTCTAAATGCCAATTTCTCACTATCTTTTTTATTTAACATGATATGTCAATAACTAGATGCTAGGTCTAATGTGCAAAACACTTTTGCATTCATTAAATTGATCTAATACTGCATCCATTCTAGGTATAGGTTCAAAATCTGTTTCAATAATTTGGTCAAGTATTCTATAATCAATACATAATCTAGTTTTTGCATTTTCATCTCTTTTATAGGCTAAAGGTAAGTGCAGCGTAAGTGCTAAATGATGGTTTCATGATATCTGTACGCAATAATTCATCTATTTATCTATTTGTTTTTTAATTTTAGTATTATTTTTAGGGGGTTCTCTATGTGGCCGATAAGCAGTTGTAAGGTCTGAAATCAGTACTACTCTTAGAGCTTCAATATTAATACAACCTACACCATATTTACTTTTTTGCAAATAGATGACTAGTTATTTAATAATTCTTGCAACTATTTATTTACACAGGAATTTTCACACTTATTATTTTGGAACTTGATTAGCCACAATATGTTTTCATTTTGAGTTTTTTTCATATAAATATAAGAAGTTATTGCATGACAATTCAATTAATTTAGTGACAGAAATACCTTTAGATAAGGACAATAACTTTCTTGAGGGCTCAATTTCAGGGGTTTCAGAGTTCTCAATTTTAAAATATTTTCAGAAATTGCTTTAAGTTGGCTACCTATATCAATAATAGCAGGAGAGTTATTGTTCTGTATCTTAACATTTAATCTGAATTGCTGTCATTGTTTGGCTGGAGTTTGATTTTGATAGGTAAATGATAATTTAAAGTGGGATACTGGGAATTTGGGTATCTCAATCGCAGTGGCTGAACATTTCTCTGTTCTGGATTTTGAGGCTAATAAGACATAGGGTAAAATAATCTTGGAGTAGGATATCTTGAGTAATAAAAATATGGATGAAGATTTTACCTTGTAATGGAAAATCAGGGCATGTTACAAGTGCTTTTTGGTTCAGGTGAGCTTGAAGTTTAGAATAATTTTCATGCTAGCATATTATCCAGATTTGAATGGAAGCTATATTTTGACATTTGCTCTGATAAATCTTGAGTGAGTGACTATTAAAATTTGGTCACTTAATTTCAAAGCAGGCCATAATTTTAATTTTTGTCTAAAATACTTATCTATGTTCTTATACTTACTGTTAATGACTAAGATGAAATCATCAAAGCTAACATGTTCAGAACCAGAAAAATATATCAGAAATTTATCTTTTAATAGATCCCAACTATCTATTTCGACACATTCATGAATGTAGAATATCAGTGCTTCTCCTTTTAGACAATTTTAATAAGACCTTTCCCCGCCCCTGCTTTTTTTTTTTTTTTTACGTACGCATTTTTCAAGATATTAAATATTGATCAATGGAATATTCTTTTATGCCATCAAAAAACTGGACGTGTGAATTTATTTTGTTCATAGAGACAATGTCAAAAATTTTTACGATTGACTTTGGATTGCTTTTCTTATTTTCATTCAAATTTTCTAAAATTAATAAATCCTTATTGAACCCTTAAACCGTCTCATACTCTACCTATCCAATGCCTTTACTTTTGAATCATTTTAAAATTAATTTTTGGAAAAGGATGAACACACTGAAATCAACGAATTGATGATTTTTAAACTTGTAAAGCAGAGCACATAACTTCTTTTACTTTTCACTCCTTTAAACAGCACTAATTTTAGAGGCCAGATGTAATGACTTCAGAGCATAGTTTTCATTTTTGATGCTGCAACCAAATTTAATAATTCATTTGATGATATTTAATTTTTAGACCATTGTTGAAAATTAGAAACATTTTGAAACACATTTCACTGATTTGCCTTGACCTAATTTGAAAACATTCATTCAATCGCTGATAGTAAATACGCACATGAATGATTCTTTTCTTTTGAAACACTTCCTATAATGCACCGAAACCAGTATATCTTGGATGATGAACTTTTGACATATCTTTCACTTATTTACATTTTAACTTAACTTGCAGATACTTTTCCATTAATGTCAGCCACATAGGTTTTAAACGTCCTACTGACTCTCCGAGATGTTTTAGTTTTTGTGGAAGATGAAGTCAATTCACAACTGGCTTGATAATTAAAATATCATTTTTTTATTTTGAACAGGAAAACATTTTTCAGAAGTACATTTTTGCTTAAGTTGGTGCCACACTAGGTACTTAAACACGCCCAACAGTTTCTATATACTTAGTTTACATTTTAAGCAACAAAGCAGGAAGGCAAAGTGAGAGATGTGGTTTACTCAAGCAGCAGCAGGCGAGAAAAAGTAATGCATACTAATAGCAGTCATATTTATAGCTAGAAAGTCTGTATGTTAACCCTTAGCAACAACTGGACTAAAGATTTCGGAGTGCAGGGAAAGAGTGATGTAACATGCTGCAGAGTGACATAAAAAGGTGCAAAGCATATCTTTGAAGTGGGGATGCGTTTAATTAAAATTTATGAATGTTAAGTTCTATTACCAATTGATTCCAATTAAGTTTAATAATTTTGTTTCATATTTTAAATTTTACTTATATATATATCTATGTTTGTTTTATTTCAGTACATCTGATGATAATTTGCTGAAAAATGTTGAATTGTTTGACAAGTTGTCTCTCCGATTCAGTGGACGTGTGTTATTTATAAAGGATGTCATTGGAAGTAATGAAATTTGCTGTTGGTCATTTTATGGGCATGGAAGAAAAGTTGCTGAAGTTTGTTGCACATCAATTGTATATGCCACAGACAAAAAACATACCAAGGTAATGATGTTTTAAATGCTTGTAGAAGGTTTTCTGATAGAAAATTGTTTTTCTCAGTATCAGTAAAATAAGAATAAAAGTTTACAGATCCTGATGCTAAGTTTAAGCTATGTTAACATGCAGTTCTATGTTTATGTATAGTGCAATCACCGTTTCATTTTTTGGTACAGAAAAACCAAAGAATGAAGTTGGATATTATTTTATCGTCTCCCTCCTTTTATAGTTATGAATTAACTTATCAGAAGAGTCTGTTAAATTTTCTGATGTCATCAGCACTGAAATATGTATTTGTAACATTCCATTTTATGTAGTACATTAATTTTAATACATTTTGTAAAACTCATGTTTTTTCATCCTCTGGGAACAGAGATCTGACTCATATGTTTTTCATCAGTCCCATCAATTGTATAACTTGCAGTATTACAATACTTAAAATTATTTCACTTTTAGTAGTCACACAGATATTTTATATGGACTTCTGTATGGTTTTTAGAATCAAACCATATAAACTTACCATTGTAATTTCATAAGAATTCTGAAGATGTAAGGGCAAGAGATCGAGCAAGCTAATTTAAACCATGGGCATATCTGAATGTAAACAAAAAGATTTAATTACATAGAAAATTTATCATGACATCAATTTTCCTTTTGTATTTCAATTTCTTTGAAATAAAGTAAATATATAGAAACAAAGGTACTTTCTAATTATCTGAACTTTTTCTCCTTCCGAAAAGTAGCCAACTTTTGGCAACTAATTTTTCACCAAGCCAAGGTGCCAAAGACAACACATCTTTCTCAAAAACGGAGATACATTAAGAATTTTATAAATAAATTACCAATTAATAAAATTAAAAACATAAAAAACACCTTATTTTTGCACTATTCTTCCCATGTACACAGCAATCTGTTTTAGCTTCATAAAACATCAAGAATTACACAAACTCTGCATCAAACAAGTTGGCACTGTAAATACTGTTGTTCTTCCCAGGCTACATGGTGATCTGTTTTTCCTTAACATTAGAATGCTATTCATTCGTCTCCTGGATGAATCCAATTACAAGTAATCTTGCTCTGTCCTCTCCTAAAACAGGAAATGGGACATGCAACTCATTATCTTTATATGACCTTGACTACTACAGATATGAACATTCCTTCCTACCAGACTATTTTTGCGCGTGCCATTTTTAGAACAATAATCATCTCACCGACAAAATGGTTAGTTGTAATGTTGGCATTTCAGAATCCGACTTCATGGAATGTGTAATTTTGCATTTTCTTCTCTTAGACCGCCATCTTTCGAAAGAAATGCTTTCTTTTCCATCAGCATTTTACAGTCTCCTAACAATGATTTACAAGAAAAGAAAACACACTCAGTCGAATGAAAACAAATATTAATGATTATTGTCAGTGCAACAGAAGTAAACACCTATGACCATCACTCGTCTAAAATTTATTTTGGTCACATCATGGATTACCTGTTTTGCCAGTATAGCATGTTTCCTTGTGAATACTTTCCAGGAGGTTATTGATAATTAGGAAGTGTCTAAGCAAATTTATTGTATTATTGATGTTTAGAATTTTCAACATGTGCATCAGATTCTTCTTTTCTAGTGATTGTCAATCTTCGCAACATTTTAATTTTAAATAAATATTTATTTTTCATATTATCTGCTGTCTTTTAAAATAATTTCAAGATTATATGGTTAACTCTTATAAAGAATTTACATGTCCAGAAATTTTCAAACTTCAATTCGGTAGTAAGCCTTGCAATTTGTTTACTTTTCATACAACAAGCGTGTTTGTTTATATTAGCGCTAACTCTTGTTCAGACTTACACAATCATAAAAAATTGTCTTTTGTGAATCTAAAATATCAGTTCTGTCCTTTTCTGTTGATTACTAGTATACTGTTAATCTAATTGTTAATGTGCAAAACCCGTTGATGTGTTTGTATACAGGGTATTTATTTATTTTTGCTCACATTTAAAAGTAGAAATTATTTTGAAAGTAATTTTACTTGGAGATGTACACAAAAAAAGGGGGGCACAGTTCTATACCTCCCGATCTACCGGGCAAGGTTTGAGCCAAGAAAAATTTACTTTATGAACTTCTTAATTTATAGCAACCTAATTTTCCTTCCCCCCCCTTTTTTTTTTTTTGCATTGCAGATGAGTGGGGGGAAAGTCATCGTTTATACTTTAAAATAATTTTAACAAAGTGCGTAAACCACATTTGACATTATTATTGCTAAAAAAATATGCCAAATTTCAAAACACGCCAGTATATAATTTCATGTATAACTTAGAAAATTATGAATGAAAAACTTAATTTTTTGCAGGTGTACCTAGAAATACATCTTCAAGGGATGTTAAAAATTTTATAGGTTATAATGCAAAAAATTTTTCAAAAAATTTATAAAAAATATTTAAAAATACAAATTAAAAAAAAAGCTTGCGAATTATATTTGGGTTTAAGCCTAAATTTCGAATTCGAAGAAGGAATCAGTACTTTAATTTAAAAAAATATTAATTATCAAATAATTATATATCAAATTCATTAAATTGAGGAACTAATTTTTTTAAAACTACTATGCGATTTTACCAACTTGGCCAGTTGCATAATTTTAGTCTTAGGATCGAATACGAAAAAACTGGCTGTCATCTCAGAAAAGTTGATTGTCAAAATACCTATGTTAAAAAAATATATATATACTAAGTGTAATATATGTCCTAAGTCACACTTTCGAGACATGAAAAAAGCAATTTGAATTTGTCAAACAGCCCAGTAGAATGGGAGAGGTAGAACTGCCCCCCTGCAGTGTACAATTTTTTAAATTAATATATTTTAATGCATTTCTACCCCCCCCCCCAAAAAAAAAAGAAAGGAAATCCTTTTTCCCCTAAATAATTTTCCTCTCATTTCTCTTTCCTATATTTTCCCTTTGTACTGACATTATTTCACATGAGAGTAAATAACAAATCAGAAATCAAGACATCACGAAATATAATTTTATTTTTAACTTTATGTCTTAGATTACATGTAATCACAGTTATTTATTATTTTCTTAAATAAAATGGCTAGTATATGATGTGATAATAGAAATGCTAGTAATTCAGGAAAGAGAAACCATATTACACTTACACGTTTATATATAAACTTTATGTTTAAAAATATTGTAGTTAAGCATTAAATATTTTTTCTAATTAATTCTTAATGTATGAATATTTTGTACGAATTTATGTACAAATAATACAAATTTACTGTAAAAATTAAGTAGGAAAAATGTACACAAAATTCGAAAAGACATGGTATATAATTACAGAACCCTTGGCCCAATTCATTGCAGATAATCGGTTATTCTATTTGTATATGCTATCAGTATATGTTTAATGAGCTGAGCATTCATCATGTTGAAAGTATATGGTCATTCTTTCTGCATGTATATAGTCATAATATGTTTTCCAGTACAGGGTTCGTAGCAGTCTTTACAAGTGCTTATAAGTCCTTATTATTTGAAAAGAAAATATAAAGGTCCTTATAGGTGCTTACTTTTTCTTTAAAGCCCTTATTTTTTTTGTTTTTAGTGCTTTTTTTCTCTTTTTTTTTTTCTCTCTCTCTTCTTTTTTTTAATAAACGTGCATTTTTTCAAATCCAAAACTAAATAAATAACTTTTCTTCCTTATATATGCAACGTCAGATGGTGAATCATACTCCCGGAAATTGCTTTTCTCCCTTTCTCTGCATTAATGTAACCTATGGTGCGCGTGAGAGTAGACAGGTGCACGTCGTTCTATTGGTCAAAGAATTGCGAAAACAGTAGAAATTCCGGTACATTTGGTATTCTTTTCCCCTCCCACTTCAAATACTACACACGTTTGAATTTCTATCAAGATTTTAATAATATGCATTCTCGTTCCGCATGGTGAGTTCGTATTCTTGTTTATTATGAAATATTCATGCTTATATTATGAGCATATGTATGAATATTTATAATATAGTTGCAGTAGCTTCTGAAGTGTAGATAAACTTCCAAAAATGAGTGTATTTTTACACAAATTAGCTTTATGTCCAAAATTATGTTTACATGCATAAATTCACGGATTTCTCAGAGACTATGACTTATAATTTAATGAATTTTCGTGGAATCATACATAACATGATGACACATAAATGCAAAAGAAAAAATTGAAGATCACCTCATATGATATAAAATTGTAGCATGAAACAATAAAATGGTAATAAAGTGTGACAAAGAGAGTTAGAAAAAAAGGAATGATTCAGAAAAAGAATTAGTCTTAAGAATTTAATATGGAATATGATCTTCCCTGACTTGTACACACATATCACAACGGTTTTAAAGCTGGAAATAACGGTTAACCACCGTTTGGGGAATTAATCTCCACTCTTCCAGCAATGCGTCTTCAGAGCATTTACATCTCTAGGAGGAGGATGTACACGTGCATTGCTCTTCCAAGGTAGTCCCATAAGTTCTCTATCGGGTTAAGGTCAGGAGAGTTTGGTGGCCAAGGTATTCGCTTAATGTCTTCACTTTCAAGGAATTCATCAACGAGGTTTCCTCGATGTGGACGGGCATTATCATCCATAAAATAAAAAGTCAGGTCATATGCACCCTGAAAAGTCTTACATAAGGATCTAAGACCTCATCTCGATATATCTGGCCTGTCACAGATCCGCTGCTGAACACGTGTAGGGCGTACGTCCATCGATCATTATTCCCACCCCCATACCATCACACCTCCACTATCGAAACGGTCAGTTCCACATGGAGGGTCATTCATGTTCCTGACTCCTTCCAGATGTAAAATGTTTAGAATCACCAGTTAAACTAAACCGCGACTCATCAGTAAAGAGAACATGGGACCATTGAGTTCAGTCCAGTTTTGATGTTCTTTACACCAATTAAAGCGATCCCTCTTTTTCTGTGAAGACAGTAAAACACATACCCTTGGCTTTCTGGCATAAAGGCCTTTTTCATTAAGT